ACCACATGAATGTAGTAATTCCCAAACCAAATGTATAAGCCATTCGCAGGGTCACTTTATGTTTCAGCATTATAAACTCACCTATCATTGTCCACACTAAGTACAGGACAGATCCAATTTGGGCCACTGAGAGAAGAACTCACATGGAGACTTGGGGTAGTTTGAGTTAGTTTAGGTTTCACAGGAAAACATGCACATCATGCACTTGATTAAACTCCTGGAGTCCACAGGCAAATTGGGTTATGTATCCCAACTACGAAGATTCCTTGATGTATAGGATTCTTGGGACTGCTCCTTAAGAGGCATATTATGTAATACAGCCTAAAGCTTTTCTTGTACACACTTCTGGTTTTCCACCTAATACTGCACTTAACAGTCATGAGGTGGTATTGGAGAAAATTCCAAACCAACAAAACAAATTTGAGTTTTCTGTGTATGTACCCAAAGTGATACGTGGGGTATTACTAGGGTATGATTATAATACAGTCTATGGTACAAAGAGTAGAATGAAGAAAATATAAAAATGTTTGGGTTTAACTTAGGGAAGCAGTCATGTTATTTTCAAGCATACCTTATAGACATTTTTCTATACAAAAAATAAATTTTTGAAACTTTGCCACCTCAAATAATTAATGAAGTAACCAATCCATTCAATGGCACCCCCCAATGTTGTTATATTGAGTACTGCTCCCTCTTGGTTTTCAAAAAGGAGTGGCTCTAGGACCCCCATGGATAAAAAAAATTTCTTGGTTGCTTAGTTAGGTTGCTTATATAAAATAGCATAATATTTGCATAGAAACTTGGCACATCCTTTAAACCAACTCTAGATTATCTATCATACCTAATACATTGTAATTTCTATGTAAAGAGTTGTTATAGTTTATTGTTTAGGAAATAATGATGAGAAAAAAAGAGTGTACATGATCAGTAAGGACGCAACTATTTTCAAATATTTCCATTCCCCAGTTGATTGAATCTGTGGGTGCGGAACCTGCAGATACCAGAGGCTGACTGTGTTAAATCAGGCAAATTACTTAATTAGTTCAACTCTTCCATCAACTAATTGTGAATGTTGATGGAAAGAATTCTTTTTTTATTTGTTTGTTTTTAACTAAACTATGATTTAAGGTAGGGAGGGGGAACTGCCCTTTGAAAAATTGAAATTATAGACCTATGTACAGATTATATACATATTTATACACACTGTGTTAACATGTTTTTTTTTAAATGCTGCACTTATCCGGTCGCCATTTACTCCTATATTACTACACTAAAAAATTACTTTGAGAATTACGGAGTTTAGTATTTTCAAAAAGTAAAATTCGTGGGCTTACTGTTTGACTTCTTTAAACTATTATCTACGGAGATTAGAAGACACTATGATTCAGGGCAAATTCAAATAGTAATCTGTTCTTCAGGAGACAGGCTGAATCACCTCAGCCCTGGTCCAGGCCCCTGGATACCCTATCAGCCTCTCTCAGGAGTTTGTCTCAGCATTTAAAAACATTCTTGTAGCCAGGTGCAGAGGCACAGGCCTATAATCCCAGTGACTGGGGAGGCCCATGCAGGAGTTCAAGGAGTTCAAGGTCAGACTCAGCAACTTAGTGAGGCTCTAAGCAACTTAGTGTGACACTGTCTCAAAATAAAATCTGAAAAGGGCTGGGGATATGGTTCAGTGGAAAAGTGCCCCTGGGTTGAATCCCCAGTAACAAAAAACAGACTTACAACAACAACAAAAAAATTTGTAAACTACCAAAGGTCCCTGAAGATGCCATTTGTTATTAAGAACATTTATAAATGTGCAGGCTCATACATATATGTTCACATAAATAAAATAATTGTTTTTCCATTTATGTCCTGTTTAATAAGAAAGTAGGAGTTAAGTTTAAACCCTAAATATTTTTGTTAACGTCCCACAAGCCACACAGAATACGGAGCATGCAATTTTTTTTGAGAGATAAGTAATATAGGCTCGGTACCCATGCCTGAAATCTCAGGTACTCCAGAGGTTAAGTTAGGAGGATCGCTAATTCAAGGCCAGTCTCATCAATTTAATGAGACCTGCCTTAAGATAAGAAAAGAAAAGGGTTAGGGATGTAGCTCAGTGATAAAACATCCCTGGGTTCTATTCCTAGTATTGCAGAGAAAAAAAAAAAGGTAAATCATAAAAGAAAAAGAATGTTCTCTCAGTGAGAAGGACTGTGCTCTAGGCCTGATTTTGTTACTCAACAGCTACGCATCCCAACCATTAATGCTCAAGTATCTTAATTCAAGTTCTCACTCCTAATTGCTAATGCAAAAACACATTAATGGATGGAATTATTGTTCCCCTACTTCTAAATATGTGTAAGCGTTCATGTATATCTTTTTAAGGACAGTCCTTTTACATATGGAGATTTTAAATGGAATATATTTTTGCCAGTTTGGAAATATAATTTACACAGCACAATCTTTCTTCCAATAGTAAAAGTGAATTAATTCACTTAATCATATATTAACGGGTCCATTTTGTAATTGGATTAACAGAATTTAACAAATCCTATATTAACTGTACTTTTTTCTACCTATTTGTGGTCAGAGGCACAAATACAGGTTTTTTTTTTTTTTTTAAAGCCCACAATATCATTCTTACATTTCAGAAAAGTCATCACTGTGCTTTCAAGGAAGCTACTTTTCAAATTTATTTCTGAATAATGAAAGTTATTGGATTATCGAAGAGATTTACCCTTCCCCAAATTTAATTTAAAGCTAAGTCATTTTAGAAACCACAACAATTACCCACTTACAAGAACTTCTATTTGAAAATTTTGTATAATTCGAACACAGAAAACCAATTGTTTGAAATTTAATAAAGCATTAACCTTTCAGGCTCAAATACTAGAAGCAGCACAGAATAGAACTTAATGTGTGAATTATAAACTTCTGAAAACAGAGACTTATAATCAAGATTGCAGAATTTTTCTTTACAGTGTATTCTCTAATGCTTTAGCCAACATATTTCTAAATGTCCCAGAAGACAACTTTCTGAGTTTTCTCTCTCTTCACCAATCTAATAGCTCAAAGTGGATGGATAATTTTCACAAATCCAAGCCTAAATTTTTCCTTGGAATGTTCACCTGATACGACACCTTTCATATGAGTCAGAATTTCATTCTAATACTGAGTGAATGAATATTCCAAATTTCCTAGCCCATATTTTAACTTGCAGTTCAAGCTATTTTCTGCTTGCAGATGAACATGTGCCATCAGTACATACAGGTTCCCCTGCCTGCACCTTCTTTTGGGCACAATCTTCTCCACCCAGCAAGCTCAGCCATGGTTTAAAACATGAAATGAAAGCTCTCAGTCATGGCCAGTCTCTGGGTATAACATAATGAAAGGAGGGGTTGTTTCCTGTTCCCCTGTGGAATGGATCTCCATCTAACAGCATGCACTCTGGACATCAGACCCAGGTCCAAATCCCTGCTCTGCGAAGGCACTTCACCTTCTCAAAGCTCAGCCTTCTCACCTGTAAAATGGGGATAATAATACTTCCCCTGGTGGTAGCTAAAGCATATCTAGATAATTTATGCAAAGCAAATAGCAGGGTGTGGTGCATAAAATGTGAAAATCAGTTGTTATTATTATTCTTTGAATTACAACCCTCTCCTGGGGCTGCAGGGAAATTAGCTTTTAAGTGCACCAGAACATACAATTATCAATATTAAGGAATCTCTACACCAGAAGTCACCTTGGAGATTTAATCTAGGCCTTCTTTTTACAGTACTGGAAACTGAACTCTAGTTGAGTCCCAGGGCAGGTCACTGCAGGGGCAAAAGCTTTCTTTACCACTTTATTCTTTAAGTGCAAAACTGAAAACCCAGCCCTCATATCCTTCTAGCTTTTTAGAGGCATGAGTGCCTTGAATTCGGACTTCTTTCCTAAAGAGGACCACAGGGGGCAGCAGAGGCCAGGAGGGCAGACAAAGAACAGTTGTGCGGAGATAGAACTTCCCCAGATTGGGCAGCAGCCCACTAATATCATTTTTGTCCACAAAGCAATTCCTCCCCCAAACCAGGAAGTATCCCAGACCATAGGACAGCACAGAACCTGCAGGATGACAGCATTAACCCAGGGCTAGGACTGATTGATACTGGTGCTGGACCAGATCACCAGCTCCTACAAAACCTTAGGACTGCCCAGTTCATACCTCATGACTTTAAATGCATTTTACATCTGGACAAGATAGGTTCCAAGTATATATTCTGAACTGCAATGTTATCTATCAATTCAAGGGGTTGCTGGGAATTTCAGATCAGCATATATTTCAGATTTGGTAAAAGGCATAATAAATCTATTTTCCCTAACGCCTCTGTCTTTGCACTGTGTACTTCATGATGTTTACAAACAAATCTCTCCAAAATAGTAAGGAGGTCTTTCAGAAAAATGGCAGCTATATTCAATGGAAAGTGTGATAATCTGCTAACAGCAGTTGGTCATCATCCACAACCCATTCAGTCACAGGCATTAACATCAACAGTTGGTTTTTTGTTGAAAATTTCTACATAACATGCACCTGCAATTGCCTGATTCCAAAATTAGTATCTGATTCAATGTAATTATTTCTTTTATACTCATTTGTGAATTTCATACGATAGATCTCTATAAACGGATACGCTTTAAGCTTTCGATGCTTAAAAAATCAAAACTGAACATACACCTACCGTGAGGTCACTATCTGTTTCCATTAGATGTTTTAAGCAAGGAATAAAACATTTAATTTAAGCAATTAAATTTTAAGATCATATTACAGAATATTCAGGAGGAGGAAAAACAATTGATCTGGAATAACACAATACAGTATACTTAAGGAGAAAATGCAGTTTCTAAATGACTGTTCCTATTATCATGCATACAATATTTTTTATTCCGAGTATCATGAATGAGACAGCCAATTTGCAAATTAATTAAGTTTCCCAGAGGACAAATATCTCTAAGTTTTTCTTTCGAGATTTATTTACCTCAGCAGAAGCTGCAGAAGCCTAGGAATGAGTTTGTCATTTTAGAGAAGATTTAAGCACTTGAAAAATGCTTGAATAAATTCTAGACCTAGAGGAGAAAAATAAGCAGTTGATCAGAGACACACATGTCAATCATCTCAGAAAGAGAAGACTCTCAGAAAGGGGGCAGGGAGGGATTAAAAGCTCTAGAAACAAGCATGTACAGGAATTTCTCAGCAGCCCCTTCACTACTTAACCAATCTTGCTGTTGCTGGTTAGACTGGCAACAACTCAAAAGACTCAACTTTGTTTCGCCCCACAGTGAACTCTTTTCCTCTTAATTATCCTCATCAGAAACTTACCACAAATGATTGCCCTCTTCTGCATAATAAATCATTCACACATTTTTAAATAGTAAGCATCTTAAACTAAGTCCTCTAGTCTAAATATCTTCAGTTCTTTACCTTTACTTCCTAGATTGCAACAAATTCTGCTCTTTCCTCTGAACTCTCCACCAGTCTCCAAATGCACTCTAAATTGTGGAGCACAGAACTAAGCTCTAACTAAGGGGTGAGGCTCTATCAAAATAGCTACAAGAGATTTGGCTTAAAACTCCAGAAGCTTCATTGCACCAAGCAAAACACAAAATGCTACAATTTCGATCCATTGCAAAGTAAGAATTGGATCAAGAATTCTTTCATGACTGTGTTTTTTCTAATCTCGTGAAATTCAAAGCAAGTCATTTATTAAAGTTTTTTTTCCCCCCCTCCATTTTGGCCACAGTATCCAAATTGCCATAGCCAGTGGGTTTTCTAGTGCATTAGTACAAAATGCATGACTTTAAGTGCTGTGAAAAATTTGGTTGTCAATTTTACAGAAAAATGATGGTGGAAGGGGAGTGGGTAAAAAGAGGTTCATGGCCACACATCATTTTTCCTTTGAAAAGAGATGTTAGGACTAAACTGGAAAGGGGATGATACTTCCTTTTATTTTAGTTCTTTCTTAGTCATACATTATATTTCAAAATGGTAAAAAAAAGTTTATTACAATTTCTGAAATATTAATAATCAAACAACATACATGAGGCTTTTAAAATGTGCTTTAGAAAGTTAAGTACTGTAGACAAAAATGTATTGCAAGCCTGCCAGTGATTCCCCCACCCGGGAAGGCAGTTTGCGTGAAGGACCACCATGCCCCTTCTCGGTTGGAACATGCAGTGGTCTAGGAGACAAAGATTTCAATCAAGTATGATTTACTTCTCGCTAAATTTTCAGCATGACCAATAAATATAGGTTTACAAAAATTCAGCTAGGCTTTATTCCCTCAGCCTCCAAAGTGCTTCTCAGATTATAAAACAGCTTTAGAAGTTCTGCCCCACAAAGCAAATATGGTACTAGGAAGGGAGACCTGGAAGGCAATCACAAAAAAAGTCTCATTTAAATTCCTGGAAAGCACAGCTTCTCCAAACACAGCTATTCAATTCTCTTTGGAAAGCATCTCTTGCTTTGACTTCACTCAATCCCCCAGCACCAGCGTGGTCAAATCCAAAAGAGATGGATGTCACATTCCGTATTCAAAAGAATGCATCAAATATCTACTCTGTGCACGGGTGGAAAGTAAAACAATCCCAAAGCAGAGTTTTCCACTTGCCAAGTATATAAGAATTAAGACTCGGCTTTTTTGGATATTCTCAAGATCCCGTCTGCTCCTAAACATCGTAGCTACAGAGAACAAGAAATCAACAGAACACACTTTAAGCTGTAAGAGTGCAGTTTTGCTTGGGGGTGGGCTAGAGAAAGACAATAAAAATCTTCACTCCCTTCCAGAACCAAATAAAATACCGTTAGTGAGCTACAGGGGCAAACTGTGTCCGTGCGTTCCCAAAGCGCAAACCCTCCACTTAACTCACCCTCTCCCGAATGTCCTGCTTCTCCCCAAACCACCCTCAACGGTTCGCACACACAGGTCTGTCTTCTTGCCGACGAAGTCTAACTCCGTGCTGAATAGCGCACTCGCTGCAGCCACACCAGGAAAGACGTAACCGAGAGCCCGATCCCCACGCAGTCCCTCACTAACCTTCTCCCCACGCCGCGCCTCCACACCTCGGCGCTCCCGGAGAAGCGCGATGCCGAAGTCGGAGACGTGCGTCTCACATTTTATTCCCCGGCCGCCGCTCGGGCGCGCGCGCCATGCGCTCCCACATTCACACGGACGCCCTAGGGAGCGCGGACCCAGGGCGGGGGCGCCAGACGCGCACCACGGAACTTGAAGGCTGCGGGCGACTAGTGCGCGGCTCCAATCCTTTTGCTGGCTCTGCCCCCCGCCACCTCCTCCTGCCACCCAGGGGCTCACAGCGACCCTGCACTCACGTCCCGGGCGGCCTGCGGGATCACCTTTCCCGGCCAGCGCTGCTCTGTGGAGGCAGCAGCTTCGGGGCGCGGCGGGGGTTGGGGGGGGGATCGGCCTCGGAGCCAGTGCAGGGCTGCGCTCAGCTCCACGCCGCGCGCTTCATTGTTTCGGGCTGCGCGGTGGTGGAGCCGGTGGCTCTGGGAGCTGGAAGAACCGTGGTCCAGAGCCCCGGGGCGAGGCGGCGCCTCCGGGCCCAGTCGCGGTGTCTGAGCCGCGCCCCGCCCGGGAGCTCCGCGGGCCCCCTGGGACCGCCAGGGCTCCCCCTCCCTCTCCTCTATCTCCCTCCGCCTCCCCCTTGGCCTGGGCTCACCTAGCGGGAGGGCGCAGGGCACTGGGAAGTTACACTGCCTCCTCCCGGCGCCCCCGGCCCGGCAGCTCGGCCCGCCGGCGAGCACAGGCGGGGCGCTCCGGGCTACGCGCCCAGCCCTGCCTCTTGCAGAGAGTGATTGCAGACTTGGGCTGCGTGGGGCGGCGCAGATGCCTAAAAAGGCTTGTTTCTCCCCAGCCACCGCCTCCATCCAGCCCTAGCTCCTCCGAGGGTTACCTGCACAGTCCCCGCCTGGCACCGCGCCTGGCACCCAGGGGAGCACTTGGGTCCCTGATGGCAGTAGGGGTGCAGGAATGCAAACGGGCTGTGAGTGGCGGGGAGGGGAGGCTGGGAGCCTGGCACTACGGAAGTGAGTCTTTGTGTACCTCGCTGGAACACACACCCTTTTGCAGAGCTGAAGGCCGGGCTACCTGCGCGCCAGGCAGCGCCCTCCAGCCGGCTGGGTGGGGCGTTGGGGAGCGCAGCATCCTCCCCGGCCCGCTTGTTCCCTTTGTTCCTCCAGCTCCGCCAAGCCCCGCGCCGCCGCCTGGCACTAGCTCCCAGCAGCTTCCGCGAGGCGCGCGAGGCGCCTGAGGCTCAAGGATGGACTTGGGAAGGGTCGCCCGCCAAGTATGGTGATGGAGCTCCCTGGAGACCCCCACTCTTCCCCCTAATCACCCCCAACCAGGAGAAGGACGGGAAAGTTCTTGGGTCCGAGACGCCCGGGCTCCCGGCGCGTCGTGGGGGAATCCACTCGGGAGAACGGGTTGAGGGCTGGGCAGCTGGACCCGCCGGCGGGGCTGTGGGGAGCCGCAGATCGGGTGTGTCTGTTCGCGTGCGGAATGCCCATTTGTCACCGCGGCTCTTGAATTTTCTAAAGGCAGCTGCAGCTGGTCCCGGGACCCGAGACCGCGCAGCTCTTTGTTTGCTGGTGAACACGTTCCTCTGAACTTCAACGTGGCTCCCGAAGCGCCACGGCGAAGGTGGTCGTCCCTGCCCCACTGGTTCTCCTGCGGCCCCAGAGAGCTGCAGGGTGGGGGTGAGGGCAGGTGGAACAAGATACAGTTAGGTGATATTGCCTCGTGCTGTCCATCTCCAGAGGGATCACAGTCACCCCCCACCCCAACCCAACCCCCACCCTGGATCCTTGAAGAGACAAACATTTAGAGACAAATTCTTCACCAACTGTTCTATTTAAAAATCCTGAAGTACATACGTTCATTTAACTAACCAAGGCCTCTTTTTTTTAAAGATCGAAATATTTAAACTAAGTTATGCAGTTCGTTTAGAATTCATGGAGTGCCTACTGTATGTATGCCTGAGACTCTGCTCCGTGGTAGGTGAACAAAGCTCTCTCAAGAAGTTAAAAGAAATTTGAAACATCACAGAAATTAAATTAAAACCAACTGGGTAAAGTGCAGTGGGCTTAATCAAAAGTGTGGACTGAAACGCTTACTCAGTACTTCCCCAATTGTATTAACTGTTTCTGACATTTGGAATTCTGTGGAACTGCTTGAAGGGACAATGTGTAACAGCAGATTAAAAAAAAAAAAAGGCCATATCCAGTAAATGTGAAATATACACAGTGTGGCGCAAAAAGCAGCCCCCCGCCCCCAGCGACATGATAGACACTTGCAGCTAGTGGTGGTGAAGCACCGAATACTGCAGAAACAATCACGGTATCAGCAGAGGGGCACTGAACTGATAATAAACCCTGTGGACCTTGTTTTTCTCTTCTGTATAATGGGTGCACTAGTACTTACCTGTAAGATTTGTAAGAAGTGGAGATAGTGTGCGTCCCATAGCCTGAAATGTGATGCCCAGTAGAATGTGGTAATTAATAAATGACAGTCGTTATTATTAAAAGACTTTCCAAGAAATAAAAATATATATTTTATAATTTCTTAGCATATATGTATTTTATACATTTCCTATTCATTTTGCATAAATGCATGAGTTGATGTCTTTGGTGACTACCGTAAAGAAATTTTAGTGAGTTAAATAAGAGTAGCTATATAATAATTGGCTTTGAATTAGAAAAATTACTACCTTAAGGCAAATATGAAAATCCCTGTTGTAAAATTTTAAGTGGATTGACTTTATTATTTACAATGCAAGTACAAAATGAAGGGGGGCACCTGACTTAAACTTACTTCCTGAACAAATCATAGAGCCAGTTTATATACATAAAACTATAAGTTGTTGATGACTCTGTCAACATGTAATGGTAAATGGAATTCACTGACATCCTTTAGTTGCTCAGAGGAACGAACTCCAAACAGGTGCAAATTAAATTTTTATTACTCTACAGCTTCATGAGATATTCTGAGCTCCTCTGGCCCTATACTATTCCTTTCTTTAAAACTAAAAAAAAAAAAAAAAAAAAAAAAAAATTAAAAAGCAAACAAAAATAGGAGACATTTTTTAAAAATGTCACTTGCTGTTATCCATTTGCTTAAAATAACCTGCATTTCCTTTTTCTGTTCAAAACTCAGGGTTTCTCCAGTATCCTTTGTCATATCTGCATGAGTCATTGGGAAAATTCTTTCCACGTTTAGGAACTTCAAGTGCAACATTGGTGAGAAGCTAAAGCAGGTATCGAAGTATCTTGGCTTTGACACATTTGGGGTGGGTCAGGGGAGGAAGGTAAATAGTTTCTAACTGCACCATTGCTGACTTTGGAATATTTTTTCACTTAAATATTATTCATAGAAACCTATTTTTTCTCTCATCCATTATGCCATTCACCTTTTACAATAAACCTAGAGATTATTTTACAGGTAGGGAAACTGGGGCTGACATATATTTTTAGGACCCTTTTCTCCAAACTAATGTCTTTTACTTCTAATTAACTTAAGATTTTCATCCCACAGCATTACTGAAACACAACAACATCTTCCCTTGCTTGGAAAGTTAGTACCTCAGGGATAAACCACCTATATCTGGGTTTTTCAGTGTTTGGGTATATAAGTCAGTATAAAAAATGAATTTCAGATCCATACTTTTAGGGTCCCATTATACCATGCTAGGTTTGAGCAGAAATATTTCATTTCTAGCCAACCCATAGATACATATTTTTTAATGAATTCAGTTAATCTTTGGAAACGTTATTAAAGAAATAGCACCATTAAGAAGAAGCAGCCTCAGGAACTGTCTTTGGATGTGTGTAGGAGCCAAGATTCTAGGCCAGCTGAGATTCCCTTTCCCACCTTTCCTTCTGGGTTTTCAGGTGGGGAGAAAAAAAATGATGATTTTTAGCATCAGATGTAAGAAAAATGCCATCTGCAGGAGAGATGGCGTGAGATGCAGTTGGTTGCTTTGAGTCTTGCCATGATGCACCTGGCCTCATCCCTGGGCTCCAGTCAAGGAAACAAGCAACTTCAGGCAGTCATGGGGTCTCAGCACAGCCTGAGACCACAAGGAGCGCCACCAGACAGAGGAACAGAAGAACAGATCAGGATGTGAAAGAAGCTGTCCTTTCCCAAACTTTTCCTTGTAGGACACAATCCAATTTGAGAAGAATGGAGCTGTACACTGGGGAATCTGGGTTTTAATTCTGATCTTGTGAGTTGATTAAAGTAGTTTGAGCTTCCTGTGCTCTAGTAACCTTATCATAGTCTGGATGAAAGTCATCTCACCATTGGGACAAGAATCTTGAGATGGCAGTCACTTAAAAAGGTGTAGCACGTCACAGTTTTCATGGACTTTTCCGTCCATTGTCTTATTGGGTTTTCTGAACTCTGAATGAAGAAGTGAAGATGTGAAGGGGTTAAGGATAAGGGCTTCAGGGCCATAGAAGTAGAGGTGGCCCTGCCACTTCTTAATTGTGTGGTGGTAATGATTATATCTAATCACTAATATTTTAAGGCTTATGGTTCAAGTCCTTTCAAGGCATTAACACATTTTACCTTCATAACAAAACTTTTTTTAATCCTTTTTCTTTTATCTTTTCATTTTGAAATATTTTTGAATCTACAGAAAAACTGCATCAATAATACCATCTACCCATATTCCCCAAATATTGACACTTTACTGTGTTTGGTTGATTGTTTCTAGAGTTTCTATTGGAAAGTAAGTTGCAAATATCATACCCTTTTACTCCTAAATATTCCATTTTATATTCCTCAAAACAGAGATATTCTG